CCCCAAAACCGTACCGGCAGAGAAGCCTGAAAACGCAATGCTCTTGCAGTCTCAAGTAGATGTCGATGCTTTCTCTCAACTACCCCGTTTTGCTGAGGCGTGTTTGAAAAACGATTCCTTCGCTCTCATAGAAATCGCGCAAGGCGACGGTGTTAAATTCAGAACCATTATCTGTTTGTATCTTCTTCACCTGCTTACCAAACTGTGTATGAACTAGATTGCATAACAATTTGAGATAACTACCAACCTCATACTTAAATTGTATAAGATAAACCCAAATTTCACGACTGAAGTCATCAACAATTGTCAAAAAATAACAAGCACCACTGAGTGAAGGTGTGCTATAACCACCCCAGATATCCAAATGTATCATTTGAAAACAAGAAGAGGTCTGAATGCCATTGACTGGAAAGGGAGTACGAACTTGTTTAGCTCGCACACAATAATGACAAGAGTTATTATTCGACTCTACTGTAACAGAAATAACTCCACGAAGCTGTGACAAAACAGCTGGCGAACGATGACCCAACCTTGCATGCCAAAGCGATCCAGAAAGCTTGGAACCTTTTACCACCGCATTGACCTGAGCAGGACAACCCCCAAACAGCTTCAAGAAGTGTAAACCATCCCATATCTCACCCTTCCTAATCACGTTCTTAGAGTGTAAGTCCTGTATAATGCAAAAATCACCGATAAAGATCAACGCGACATGGTGCTCCTAGCAAAGGCAACTGACTGACAACATATTACAACGAAACTCCAGAACGTGCAAAACACGACCAAGGACAAGCCCATTACCCATCCGAACATAACCCACACGTTTGACTGGTATACTAGCTCCATTCGAGGATACGAATAGGTTGACTAGGTATATCAGAATTATGGGAATCATGATTCATCCATCGTTATGTGCTCATTGCACCATGAATCAATCAACCATTCAGGTTCAATAGAGAAAGTAAACATACCCGCCATATGGCTCGTCGGATCAACTACTGGTGGAAACTGCCCACCGAAATATTGCTTTAATTGTTCCAGATGTTGTTCGGAGAAATCACGCACGGGATTTGCTTCCGCTTTCGCCTGTGAAGCTCGGGGCTCTCTACTCTCACCACTTGAATGCCCAGAATCTCGCCCAGCCTCTCGATTCCTCCTTTTATCTGGGCGGTCAGCTTGCTTGTCACGAGATTCACGAGAAGGCCAACCAATTATTTCGTAACATGTTTCTCGCAGGTGCCCCGTTTTGCCGCAATGGGTGCATTGCATCCTTTCTCTCTCACCAGAACCGCGCTCTCGATCATGAGGGTTGCGATTCGCACCAGCTAGCTTTCTCAACATCTCCACGCATAGCAAAAGCAACTGCCTCTGGCACTGGTTTGCGGTTCTGGGTAATGTTGCATTGCTGCTCATCGTTATATACGATGCGGAACGCATCTGGTAAGATTGGCGGCGTGGGCATGGAAATAATATGTCTTCGAACGGTCCCGTAAGACTCGTCGAGCCCAAGCAAAAAATCTCGGAGCCTCAGGCTCTCGTTTTAGTCCCGACTTCGTTGCCCACAGGGACAAAGCGGCGGCGACAAGATCGATTGGGTCTCCTCCCAAACTTTCCGAAGGCTCGTATAGAAACTTGAGAGCGACTGTTTCTCTTGCTGCAAGAGACTGACGTGCCGACGCAGCTCGTAGGCTCGAGTCAGATTCCCTTTCCTAAAGCGATCCCGGAGATCCTCCCATATCTCCTGGGCCGTCTTGGCATGCATGACACTACTACGTAGCGTAATGGGAAAGGGAAGGGTTATCATGCGGAAAAGGAATCGATCCATCGACAAACCCTAACTTGTTCTTCGTTACCACAGCATTGCGCATCTCCAAGACCCACTAGCCATAGTTTGATGGCGTCAGAAGGCTGCTGACAAGTAGATGCCCAGTGCTATCAGACTGGTGTATAAAGAATGGACTAAGCAACTCAACATCCTTTCCACCAGAACCAAATTCGTCGGACTTCGACGACGGAGTAGTCTCGAGGGATGACTCTTCTCCATACATACTTGACTTTGAAACGGATTAATGCTCTGATACCATGTAAAATATGCTGAAATCGATAATGCGGAATAAACGAGACACGATTTAACGTGGTATCCCCGATGATCGAGACTAGTCCACGGGAGAGAACAACTCTCTCAAGCTTATATGTTATTACGTTTTTAATGGTGGCCAACGGCCATACACTTGCTTTTATACCCCTCTACATACTCAACTAGGGTACAACTAGTGCTACAATCATACGCAGCACGAGCATAAGCCGCCTTGGGCTTCCTGGATGACATATCGGACTGCTGGGTTACGGGCCAATGAGCCGACTGGGCTAAACCCATTACTGGGAAATTGTTTATTTATCTTTTTATCTTTTGCACCGGTTGCGATCCCTGAGCACCGTGCGGTTGCAGGATTCGTGACGCATTGCGGGTGGAACTCGACGTTGGAAGGGGTGGCGGCGGGGAAGGCGATGGTGACGTGGCCGATGTTTGAGGAGCAATTCTACAACGAGAAGCTGGTGACGGAGGTGTTGGGGATCGGCGCGGCGCCGGGGGCGACGGAGTGGGTGCGGCTACGCGGCGAGAGGATGAGGGGGGAAGGTTCGAAGAGAGCGGTGAGGAAGGTTATGGACGGCGACAGCGAGGAGGCAGGGGAGATGAGGGAGAGGGCGAGAAAGGTTGGTGAAATGGCGAGGAGAACTGTGGAAGAAGGAGGGTCTTCATGGAAAGATTTGTATGGTTTGATTGATGAGCTGAAGGGGCTTCGTAGCCATGGTTGAGATGTATGATTTAGGTTAGACAATACTGGGATTGAGGATGTCCCAGATGACAAAGCGACGAATTTCTCTAAAACCATCTTCATTCTGGTTTGTAAATATTCAGATTCATAAAGTCCATATCTTTTGAGGAAGTTTTGCAAACTTATTCTCATACTCGTAGTTGTTATTGTTACGGCCAGATGACAAAACGAATTGCATCACAAAAAACCAGTGTTTGTAAAATCGTACTGTACCGACAATTCGATATGAAAAAACTATTATAAGGATCTAAATTCATATGCGGTTATTAACGTTATGAAACAGTTGAACTACAGTTAAATCACGTTTCATCATAAAATATCAAATTACTGACGTTTTTCCGTACAACCTCCTATACGATTTTTAGAATGTCGCCAAAAATATGGCAATAATACTCAGCTAAACGATCAGTTTCCTTATGGTCAAAGTTGGAGGCTAATACTTTTCAACAACAAGCAGACAGAGAAAAAGAGGGATGGATCACATTACTGGGATAGACCGCCACTCGCCTTAATTTCCACGGCTATTCTTCCAAAAATTTTGACCCGAGTCCTAAAACGGCATCTATAAAAATCTCAAGAACAACCAGATCACTGCCACAGATCAATCCCACTACACTCAAGTTCTTCACTTCCCTCCAAATCAATGGATCCACCACACCACCACCACCACCACCAGCAGCTCCACGTCGTCTTCCTCCCTTTCATGGCTCAAGGCCACATGATCCCAATCACAGACATGGCGAGGCTCTTCGCCCGCCGCGGCGTCAAGTCAACGATCATCACCACTCCCCTCAACGCCCCTCTCTTCTCCGGCAAGATCCGCCGCGACGCCCAATTGGGTCTTCCAATCGAAACCCACATCATCGAATTCCCCTGCGCCGAGGCAGGGCTGCCGGAAGGTTGCGAGAACGTCAACGCCATCAAGTCTCCCGAGCTCATGATCCCGTTCTTCAAGTCCATGGCCGTTTTCCAGCGCCCGGTGGAGGATCTCCTCCGGCAGTGGCGGCCGGATTGCATCCTCGCCGACGTGGTTTTCACCTGGGCTACAGAGACCGCCGCCAGGCTCTGCATCCCGAGGCTCTTCTTCAATGGAACAGGGGCGTTCGCCGTGTCTTTGCTTCACGCCCTCAAAGTCCACGAGCCGTACAAAGAGGTGGAATCTGATTCCGAACCTTTTCTTCTCCCTGGATTGCCGCATGAGATTCAATTGACGAAGTTGCAGCTCCCGCCTTTTTTGAAAGGCGATGAATCGGATAGCGGGATTAAGGAACTGCGAGAGAAAATGGAGGAATCGGAGATCAACAGCTTTGGGGCTGTAGTGAATAGCTTCCACGAGCTTGAGCCGGGGTACGCCGAGTACTACAGGAAGGTGATGGGGAGAAAGGCATGGTTGATTGGTCCATTGTCGCTCGGTAACAAGGACGGTACCAAGGAAAAAGCAGAGAGAGGAAATGTTGCCTCCGCTGCCGACATCGATGAACATGACCATTTGAGATGGCTGGATGGTGTGGAACCCAATTCGGTGTTGTATATCTGCTTTGGGAGCATATCCAACATGTCGAATGCTCAGCTGTGTGAGATCGCTGGTGCTCTGGATTCGTCGGAGCAGAGCTTCATCTGGGTTGTGAAGAAGGGGGAATTGCTGCCGGAAGGGTTCGAGGAGAGGATGAAGGGGAAAGGGATTGTGATCAAGGGATGGGCGCCTCAGGTGCTGATTCTCGATCACACGGCGATCGGAGGGTTCATGACGCACTGCGGGTGGAACTCGACGCTCGAAGCTGTGGCTGCAGGGGTGCCGATGGTGACATGGCCGCTCCAGGCGGAGCAGTTTCTCAACGAGAAGCTGGTGACCGATGTTCTGAAGATCGGTGTTGGAGTTGGAGCTCAAGAATGGTCGAGAGGTGAGAGGAAGATCGTCGTGGGGAGGGAAGACATAGAGATGGCGATGACTCGGGTGATGGTCGGCCAGGAGGCGGAAGAACTGAGGGGCAGAGCTAGGAAGCTTCAGAAAATGGCTGTCATGGCGAATGAAGAAGGAGGATCTTCTAATTTTGATCTTAAATCATTGTTGGAGGAACTAACTTCTCTATGGGACAAGAAATTGTGATGGTTGATAGGGATGAGGAGCGAGTTCCATTAAGATTAACTTGTATCGAACTACTCAGATACCAATTATCAAAATTTTGACTATTACAATCCATGTCAAGTGATAATTTCTCTAGCCAGTTCTTGCATCTATCTAAGTAATATAGAGTGCAGCAAATTGATGAGAGGCAGCACACAATTCAATATCCAAGCAACAGACCATCAAAATTTCGATTGAAGCGAAAGAAAACCAAGTTACAACCTCGAAGATGGAATTCGAAACTGTATCCTAAACAAACTCAACACAGAACAGAGCAACATTGACAAGATTATCGTTCTCAAGAAGCTAACCAAGTATTTCATACTGACTGCCTTTTTGGAGATCCTATATCAACTCGTCTTTCAAGAAATTTTCACCATCAAGCCTCGGTTCTCTCGACGTCTTCAAGGATAAGGGCCTTGGTTGGCTTTCCCAGAAGATCGGTGTACTCTTGGAAAGGCGACTTGGTGAAGCGGGTGTCCTTCCAGAAATCAGGGGTCAAGAAACCATACGTCTTCAGGAGGCAATCAAATGTAGCCTGTTGCATCAAACAAAGAACAGACCGACCTCCGATCAGTACGAGCAGTTTCCAGAATCAGAATTGCCACAAAAACATCAAAGCATTATGAACCAAATCATTCTGCCTCCAACCAACTGCATACATTGACATCACTTCCCATGTCATAAGCAATCAAACAATCACAAACAAAGTGCAAAACTTCACAAGCATTTCTTCAAAAGTATACTTCCATTGCTACTACCCAACTAAGAGAATCGGACTCCCTCGCAGTCCAACTATGAGATGAACTTCATTAGCAATTGAGCAAGAGAGCTAGCAATCCCATACTTCAGATTGGCTGATTTCATCAAACTAGAACCTAGCGCATCCTACATCATATATAGATAAAATACCATTCGACGAGACAAATAATCAACATTGGAACAAACCAACAGAGAAATTTAATCAGACCTTCACGAAATTGCCAAGGGTTTTGGTGGATCCACGGGAGGAAGTGAAAACGTCCTCAATCCCAGCAAACTGCAGAACCTTCTTCGGCACACGAGCCGCGACGATCCCAGCACCACGCGGAGCGGGCACCATCCGGACGGTGACGGAGCCACATTTCCCGGTGACCTTGCACGGCACCGTGTGCGGCAGCCCAATCTTGTTCCCCCAGTACCCTCTCCTGACCGGAATCACGGACAGCTTCGCCAGAATGATTGCGCCGCGAATCGCAGTGGCGACTTCCTTGCTGCACTTGACGCCCAATCCGACGTGGCCGTTCCCGTCGCCGACGACGACGAAGGCCTTGAACCGGGTGCGTTGTCCGGCGCGGGTCTGCTTCTGGACGGGGCTGATCTTCATGACCTCGTCCTTCAGAACGCCGGGGCCGACGAGGGTGTCGATGATCTGGTACTCCTTGATGGGGAGCGAGTGGAGGTAGATTTGCTCCAAGCTGCGGATCTTGCCTTCTTTCACCAGGCGGCCGAGCTTGGTCACGGGAACCCACTTCTCCTCCTCGTCGCGGCGGCCGGCGCGGCGACGACCCCTTCCTCGGTCACCTCCCCGTCCCCCGAATCCACGGCGGCCTCTCTCGCCACCGGCTCTGTCGGCTCCACCTCTGTCAGCCATGGTTGCCTCTCTTTGCAATTCGCTCTCTCTATCTCTGTTTCAGGGGAGTGGGATTAGGGTTTTGCGCGGTTTATTTATATAGTCCAGAAAAGATGAAGAAGGGAAGGTTTAATTGGGCTGGGCCTGACCCTTCAAAATTAAATGGGTATTGAATGGCCCAAGCTGCATGGGGTTTGTCATTCTCACTTGCTATTCGCGGATGACTCTTTCCTTTTTCTTCGGGCTTCTCGATGAGATGGTGTCAAACTTCTTGCTTTATTGCGTGAGTATCAAGAACTTAGTGGGCAACGCGTGAATCTGAACAAATCTGCTGTGTGTTTTAGTCCAAATCTTTGTCAATCCGATCAAGAGGATCTAGGAACTTTTCTAGGTGTTGGTTCTTTTGGTCTTCAAGATCGTTATCTTGGGCTTCCATCCTTACTTGGTCGCTCTAAATTGGACACATTCAGATTTGTTGAAGAGAAATTATGTTCAGTTCTTCAAGGCTGAAAATCCAAAACCCTCTTTGCAGCTACGAAGGAAGTCTTACTTAAGTCTGTGGCAGCTGCCTTGCCAGTGTATGTAATGTCGTGTTTCAAGATGCCACGAGATTTTATTAACCGTCTGAATGCGTTAATGGGTGAGGTTCTGGTGGGGTGCTAGTCAAGGTCAGCGACGCATTCACTGGCGATCTTGGAAAGCGTTATGTCTTCCTAAACAGGATGGGGGACTTGGTTTTCGCGAGTTCGGATGTTTTAATCAGGCTCTGCTTGCTAAGGTGGCTTGGCGAGTGCTCCAAGACCCATCATGTTTACTTTCCAGGATCTACAAATCTCGATATTTTAGATCTATTGAGAGTTTTTTAGAGGCTCCCTTAGGAAGTAATCCATCTTGGGGATGGAGGAGCATCTTGTTTGGACGTGACTTGCTACAGATGGGTCTTCGATGGCAGGTAGGTGATGGCCTTTCAATTCATGCTTTGAGTGATCTCTGGCTTCCCGGTGATCCTCCAAGCATTCCTCGAACAAATCCAGGTTTTTCTCATTCGCCTTCTTTGTTGGTTGCAAGTTTGATTGATCCCGGTACTCGCAACTTGAATTCTGCTGCATTACGGCATTTCTTGGATGTGGAATCCGCAAGGAAGATTGGTAGCATTCCGTTGGCGCAGACAAGGCTTCAGGATTCTATTATTTGACAGTATGATCCCTCTGGTCTTTTCACAGTGAAATCCGCGTACCATTTGGCTTTCCGACGTCAACGACCAATTCCTATTAAGAACAGGATTGATTTCATGGATCCATCTGTTTGGAATTGGCTTTGGGGAAGGAAGGTCCCTCCGAAATTACTCTTCTTTCTGTGGCAATGTGTTCATCGTATCCTCCCTGTTCGTGAAGCTTTAGTAACGCGTGGGATGGACATTCTTCCTATTTGCCCGGTGTGTGGGCGGAAAGAGGAAACCATTGAACATTTATTTTTCAGGTGTTCGGCAGCTAGGAGATTATGGAGAATGGTAGGGCTGCATAGACACTTGGGGCGTTGGAATAAGGGATCCTTTATTGGTTTCCTTTGTTTCTCATTGTTCAAGGAGGAGGGCCAGTAGTTGGATTATCTATACTTGCAGGTTATTTGTCTTCTATGGCGCATCTGGAAAAATCGATGTAAGGTTTCTTTTGAGTTCAAAAAGGTTAGAATTGAAGAACTAGCAGCCCAGTGGAAGCATCAGGTTCAAGAAAATGATCAAGCTCTCTTGCAGACCACTCCTACAAGTGTACAGGTTCCAAGGTTACATACTCCTAGCCATGATGATTCAATGGCAAATTTTGTGGCCTCATTTGATGCAGGTACACGGCAAGGGGAGAGGGGATCTTCTGCTTTTGTTGTTCAAAGAGTTTCGGGTGAGGTTATAGCTGCCCAGGCTGGTGTTTTTGAAGGCTGTAGTGATCCATATGTGTTGGAGGCAATAGCTTTGCGAAATTGTCTTCTGTATTGCAAGCAGCATCGCCTCAGCAGTGTTTGCGTTCATGGGGATGCTAAAGTCCTCATTGAAAAATGCCGTGCAAGACAAGTTTGTGACGCAAAAATTGGGATCCTTCTTCAAGAAATTGACATGCTCATTGGCAAACTCATCAATGCTTCTGTTCGGTTTGTTGGTAGATTGAATAACATAGTAGCTCACTCGGTAGCAAAACATGCTCTGGTTTTGTCGCCTCAGTTTTTACCAAGGTTTGACTTTGTTGCTTGGTTACGTAGTAGATAGATTCTTTGTATCTGTGACCTGTGTTCGACCTCTTTTTAAGAGGAATCTAATGGAGAAAAAAAAAGCAATGTCTGGCCCAAATGGCTTAACAAGACTATAGAAGTACAATCAGTTAACATGTTGAAGTATTGGCTTATTCACAATGCTGAGCCCAAGGTTGTTTTTAAAGCTGCTGAACCCAAAGATTTTTTTTTTTTTTTTTGCGGATAATAATAGGCATGAGATTACAACTGTTTGAAAAGTAAATCGCGGTAGGCAATATTAATTCATTTGTCGATGAAAGAGTCTTTGATGTCACGAAATGGGTAGCTCTGCTAGTTTTTAAGATAGAGTGATAAAAAAAAAACACTACAAACCTATAAAATGATGTAAACTGCCATCGAACTCGCACCCACATCCGAACCCGGAAGATATGCATGACGCCAACTTCGTCATTGTATAACCTCCACGACAACCTCCCAAAAGTCGGTTCAACAGTTGCACCTGCAAAACTAGCAAACACAAAAGTCAGACGAAGTCTGGCAGGCCCAAGAAAATGTCTTGAGTACTACTGTTGTCATTGCACCGCCTTGATCAGACATACAGCCTGATTAGGCAACCCTCTTGGCGGAATGGACCTACTGACTGAACTAGAGGTGGCAATTGGATCGGATTCGTGGATTCGTGGATTGGATTGGTGGATCCATGGATCAAATGGATTGGATCCAATGGATTGGTGGATTCATGGATTGGATCAAATGGATTGGTGGATTGATCCATGAATCCAAATGACATCCAAGGCTTGGACCAAAATGTAAAATTTGAAAAGTTTTGGTACTAAAATGTCATAATGAAAATTTTTAGGTACCAAAATGTAATTTTCCAATGATATTTTTCGTATAAAAATATAAATTTTAGGTACCAAAATGTAAAATGTAAAAAATATAGGTACCAAATCGTAATTTGCCATTTGGATCCATAGATTGATCCATGAATCCACCAATCCAATTGGATTTGGATCAAATGGATTGGATTTAAATGGATTGGATTAGGTGGATAATTTGGTGGATGGATTGGATTGGATTCATGGATTTGGATCCTAATTGCCACCTCTAGACTGAACCCAATGATTTGAGAAATCAACTTAAAGCAATATTATTTTAAAATGGGGTCCAAAAAATTAAATATTTTTTTAAAATTTTATGGGGTTTCATAGTGCAAAATTAAAATTCGTCTAATGAATCGCACATATAAATTTACAAATTTTTCTTTGCAAATAGTAGTAGGGTGGCTCCATAGATGGTTTGATTGTTTACTCCTTTACAATAAGAGTTCGCAGAATTATGAGCGAAAATGACAATCACTTCATGAAAATTTTATAGTAAACCTTAAGAGAGAGTAGCAACACAATCGTGTATAAAGATCCGGTGCGAGTTGTGCCTGAACTCAGAATTTACTTATAAAAATAGGGTTTACAAAAGTCATGTATATTGATTCATTTATAACTAATCGCTCTCTTCGCTTGCTGTCAAAGCAAATTAAGGGCATGGAGAGAAACCTTAAATGTCTATAGTCACCCTGAAATACAGGATTATGGGGTGCAGATCGATCAAAAAGACAAAAACCATGTGTAGAGATGAAAGTGAGATGCAAGCGATCGAGCTATAATAAACCTCTTGAATACATCTTTTGCTGTCAATTTTGTCCTCCAAAGTAACCAATCAATTTGCTTCCAATATTGGTTATACGTTCTGTTGTTACAAGTTGCAGTTGCAGGCATCGGAAATTGGGGAGGGTGCAGAGAGAAAAGACGGTGGTGGCATGTGCAGCTTGCTGGCTGCCTACCTCACCACTCACCGGTGACTTACCAGTCTGTGCAATTGCAGCAAATAGTAAACACAAGTTCCAACTTCCAATCTATGGTGGCAAGCAATGCTTGCATTGCAACATATATTTGAAAAATATCTTGCGGTGGGTTACTAGGCATGATAATGGGTCGATTTATTGAGTAACTTGACTCAATTGTTATGAGTTGTGACACGTGTGGCTACTAGGTTCCATCCAGATGGACCTGTATATGCAGCTTTAATGATTTCGGGTTTGTGTTGGGTTTGAATAGTGAACGGATTGGGTTCAACTCATTTGGGTTAGACTCAAATAAGCCAATTTGTGTTCAAAGGATTCTACATAAAAAAAACAATAGGGTAATGTATATTTTTTTATCCAAAATTTTTTTGGATTCTTTTAAAATTATCCAAACCTATTAAAATGCTTTTAATTAATCAAATCTTTCGTAATGCATCAAAATATTAGCAATTTTTATGTTATCGTTAATAATTTTGTAACTCTTTTTCTAGTTGAAATACTAAAATTTTGGAATGTTGACATTCATGTGTCTCTTCCAAGTCAGTATCATGTTACCAAGTCAATATTACTAACAAAAATGCTAACTGAAAGTTAACATTTGGCTAATTCTTAATATTTCGATTGGTTTGGCTAATAAAAAAGTATCCGAAAAAAGTTTGAATAAAAAATAGACATTACCCAAAACAATACAATATCAACCATCTCATTAACTACCTTCAATGCAGGTACATCTTTAATGTCGGTATTTCTAGGGGTGTTCAAACGGATTGGTTACCGTGGTAACCATATTAATCGGTAGCATTCTGTTAATTTGGTTTGGTTAATTTGGATAATTGGTTTGGTTTGGTTAAACAATTTAGCTTATTCGGTTTAGGTGGTTTGGTTTCAACACTGCTAACCAATTAACCAATTAATGATACACGTAATATACAAAATTATTTATACTCCCATGCAACCAACCAA